CAGACGGGAGATGACAAGTGCCTGGATTAGGACCTGTGCCGCTTCCTGTGTAAGGCAGGGTCGTACTCTCCGAATGTTGTAGAGCATGAACCTGCAGGAGCGGGTCACCGCCTTGATGTTGGCGGAGAACGACAGGGTGTTGTCTAGGGTCACGCCTAGGCTCTTCGCACTCTGGGAGGAGGACACAGCGGAGTTGTCTTTCCTTCTTCTCCGGCAACTGAGTTAGGAAGGACGCCTGTATCTTTGTAGTGATTGGGTGTATTGATATATCATCCAAAGTGTAATGAATAACTTCACCATGCGCAAAGGGATATTCAATGTCTGCTTAAATTATTTTTTACCCATCTACCAATAGGTGCCCTTCTTTGCGAAACATTGGACTGGTCTTTGTGGTTGAATGTGTTTGAAATTCACTGCTCGACTGAGGGACCTTACAGATAATTGTATGTGTGGGGTACAGAGATTTGGTAGTCATTCAAAAACCATGTTAAACACAATTATTGCACTCAGAGTGAGTCCTTGCAACTTATTATGTGACTTGGTAAGCACATTTTTACTCCTGAACTTATTTAAGCTTGCCATAACAGAATGGTTCAATACTTATTGCCTGAAGACATTTTACCTTTTCATTTTTAATACATTTATAAAAATTTCGAAAAACATAATTCCACTTTGACATCATGGGGTATTGTGTGTAGGCCAGTCACACAAAAAAATCACAATTTAATCAATTTTAAATTGAAGCTGTAAGACAAAGTCAAGGGGTGTGAATACTTTCTGAAGGCACTAGATACGGATCATAACACATTTATTCATGTGACTTACAGTTTATAAAATGTGTCTTCAAGTTTCCCTTTAAGTCATCTGCAATTGATGATTTACGCCACTATTGCCTTTTTGCTATGTTTCCGTCCCTTTCTGGCTCAAGACTACCCACTTTTCAATTAACATGGGAGCATCAAAGTAGTGTTAAGTGGCTTTTCCAACAGTCTTGAAGGAGTTCCCACATATGCTGAGCACTTGTTGGCTGCTTTTCCTTCACTCTACGGTCCGACTCATCCCAAACCATCTCAATTTGGTTGAGGTCGGGGGTTTGTGGATGCAGCACTCCATCACTCTCCTTCTTGGTAAAATAGCCCTTACACAGCCTGGAGGTGTGTTGGGTCATTGTCCTGTTGAAAAACAAATGATAGTTCCACTAAGCCCAAACCAGATGGGATGACGTATCGCTGCAGAATGTTGTGATAGCCATGCTGGTTAAGTGTGCCTTGAATTCTAAATAAATCACAGACAGTGGCACCAGAAAAGCACCCCCACACCATAACACCTCCTCCTCCATGCTTTACGGTGGGAAAAACACATGTGGAGATCATCCGTTCACCCACACCGCGTCTCACAAAGACATGGCGGTTGGAACCAAAAATCTCAAATTTGGACTCCAGACCAAAGGACAAATGTCCACCTGTCTAATGTCCATTGCTCGTGTTTCTTGGCCCAAGCAAGTCTCTTCTTATTATTGGTGTCTTTTAGTAGTGGTTTCTTTGCAGCAATTCGACCATGAAGGCCTGATTCACACAGTGAACAGTTGATGTTGAGATGTGTCTGTTACTTGAACTCTGTGAAGCATTTATTTGGGCTGCTATTTATGAGGCTGGTAACTCTAATGAGCTTATCCTCTGCAGCAGAGGTAACTCTGGTTCTTCCATTCCTGTGGCGGTCCTCATGAAAGCCAGTTTCATCATAGCGCTTGATGGCTTTTGCAACTGCACTTTCTGTATTGACTGACCATGTCTTAAAGTAATGATGGACTGTCGTTTCTCTTTGCTTATTTGAGCCGTTCTTGCCATAATATGGACTTGGTCTTTTACCAAATAGGGCTATCTTCTGTATACCCCCCTACCTTGTCACAACACAACTGATTGGCTCAAACGCATTAAGAAGGAAATAAATTCCACAAATTAACTTTTAACAAGGCATACCTGTTAATTGAAATGCATTCCAGGTGACTACCTCATGAAGCTGGTTGAGAGAATGCCAAGAGTGTGCAAAGCGGTCATCAAGGCAAAGGGTGGCTATTTGAAGAATCCCAAATATATATATATTTTTTTTTTGTTTACAACTTTTTCGGTTACTACATGATTCCAAATGTGTTATTTCATAGTTTTGATGTCTTTACTATTATTCTACAATATAGCAAATAGTAAAAATAAAGAAAAACCCTTGAATGAGTAGGTGTTCTAAATCTTTTGACCTGTAGTGTAGATATATTTTTTTATACTATTTTGATATTGACTACTGCATTGTTGGGAAGGGCTTGCAAGTTAAGCATTTCACTGTAGTTGTGCATTTGACAAATAATACAAGTTTATAGAAATGTGTGGCTTGTTCTGAGGAGAATTCACACACACACACACACACACACACACACACACACACACACACACACACACACACACACACAAACACACACTCAGAAATCACAAGGTGTTACATTTTCACACTTTAATAATATTCTTGAGAACATTTACATACAACTACATTTTGCTTATATGTTTCACTTCAGAGAAATAACTAACAACTCACACAAGTGTGTAAGATTATCTTTCTAATGTGAAGAAACGGTTGAGTAGTTTAAAGAAGACACAGTTCAGTGGATTTGTCACTGTAAGGCAATCACATACTGCCATGATTTGACATGATAGCGAACAGAATGCATAATAAATCATGACTATTGTCAATCAATAAATGGCTTTTGTTTAAACTCCTGATTATATGCTATATGTTCATATTCTATGGTGTAAAATGCATATATTTGTCTTGACAGTCATAGCATATATTTAGAAAAAGGCAGGCTCTATGATCGAGAATCTCTCTGATGAGTTTTAAATGGTTATTACACGTCGTCAATCTTGTTTTTAGCACAGGGGTTTATTATTGTCATATTGAATTGAATCATTATCGTCAAGTGTTGCACAATATTAAATATATTTTTACGCAGGATGTACCTCCTACCCTTGTCAATCATCGCAAACACAAGCTTGGTCTGATAACTTGTATTATTTTGTTTGGATAGTCTCAGTCGGTATTAGATAGAACGCAGAGGCCCCGCCTGCCTGTTGGGAAAACAACCTAGGTTACCCATTGGCACAGCAAAAACTTGACCTTTCTCTTGTTGTCTGCTTGTTTTAGTCAATTACAAAACTACATTTAAGAAAAGTACAACATGTCTAAAGATTAGTTTTTAACATTGCCTGCTCCCGAGCATTCTCACTACTTAGAAGAACGTAATATTGTAGGGATTCCTTCATGCCCCTTTTCATTATGGTGCTAGCAGCCAAGTGAGAGAGTGAGTGCTAGCTAGCTACTGACCGGAACATTAAGCTAGCCAGGACCAATAACACAAACAAATTGACTATACAGCTACAAGTTGTTTGTGAAGTTGTTAGTGAAATGTCTTACATGTGATTAAATGTTTTCCACACACATAGCTACGTGTAGCCTACTTTGACACCGGGTCCCCACATTTCCCACTCTCCCACGCCGAACAGCCTGAAGCCACAGGGCTCTTCTCGCAGGCTCTATTTCCCTACATGGGAGCATTGCGAACCGTAGGTCGGGATTTTTGACCTGGTTACAGCTTTTCAGCAGGTTTTGTTATTTCTGTATAACAAAACATCTACGACGAAGTTGGCTCTTTTACAATGAGGTTCAATAGGAAAGAATGTTTGTTATAGGGTGAATGCACCAATTTGTAAGTCGCTCTGGATAAAAGCGTCTGCTAAATGACGTAAATGTAAATGTATATGTTTTCCCCAATTTGTGGGCGTGGTCGAGGGGAATTCCTTATGACGTGAATATTGACTCTGAGTATTGAGCTCAGGTAGCCCTTCAACTTTACTCACGAAGGCGAACACTACCTTCAAACAAATTACACAGTAACTATGGCAACTTGCATCTGCATATCCCCCCCTAAACATTTCTGGGTGAATTTTCTTAGTTACCCCTTCTCTTTGCGATCGACAGACCAATGTCCAATGAAAGAGATCTTACATTCTGTTTGTATGGAGTTTAAAGCTGTCACTACTAAGTGATTATGTCCCAAGTGCCTAGTTGCATTGTTAAATAATAAGGTGCAAATACAAATAAAATGCGGAGCAACACTTTGCTTGAAGTGTAGAGAGCTATAACACTTTAAAGGGATGTTCCACTCAACATATAAGGTTGTATGTTAGATTTGAGAGGAATATCCCTTTAAGAAAAGTGTTACTGAACATCCGTTAAAAGTTGAAAGATTACCATGCATAATATTGTGAGACCTATTGCATGTCGTAAAAGGTGAAGTCCCTCACCTATATAATGGCTTCATGAACAATATACAAAATTAGAAAAAGGAAAGAAATTATACAAAATATAATGTATACTATTATCTGTCATCCCATCATTGCATGTTCCAGTTAACTACATGGTTTGTTACCCAACTTGTGCTTCAGTAACAACCAATACGCACAAACAGTATGGGTTTGAACGATTGGTTCCATTGTTAGCACAGATGATTGTCATTGTTGTCGTAGGTCTGGTCGAATTAAGCTGTACTGTAGATTAATGGGTGATGGAGTTGAATGGGCCCAATCGGCCGGTGTATGAATCTTGAAACAAAAATATAGTATTTTTGGCAGCAAATCAGAAACACCACCACATTCCATTCCTACCCATAACTTTACTTTTCTAATTATTACAGGTTGATGTGAAAATCGTTAAATAAAAGTCACAATCTCACCACACCAACACTGACACAGCCCCCTGACAACCCCACATCTCCAATCTCCATATAGCATCATGCTTGCTGACCCCCCCCCCCCTTCCTCTCGCTCTCGAACATATCGATCATGTAATGCAGGAGTAATCATTATTAGTACAACTGGAAAAAGAAGAATGCAACACCATATTGTTTCTCCCAACCCCCACAGTCTCTGCACCCCTAACCTCCCCACCCACCACCCCCCAAACAGGGCCCCTCTCTCAGTCTCCACGTGCCCTCTACCCTCTAACTCCTACAAGACCTGCACCACATCCTCCTGAACCCCCTGCTCTAATCAGTGGCGGCCCAGGAGTTTGGAAAAGAAGCCACCGGAAGAAGACAAGGATTTTTTGGGCTCTTTGGCCGCCACTGCCGCGCTCGCCCCAAGGCCCAGCTCCCCTTCCAGCTGCTCCAGCTCGGACTGGTCCAGCAGCTCAAATTCCTCCACATCGCTGTCCGATGACGACTCCTCGGCCAGGTCCAGGGGCAGCAGTGTCGTGGGGTTGGGGAACAGCAGGGACCTGGGGTGGGGGTGGGGGTCTGTGGGTATGGTGGTGCCGATGGCGGCCTCCAGCCTCTCCTGAATGATGGCGGTGGCGGCGGCGGCAATGACGTCGCCCGCCATCTTGTGGACGAACTCCAGGGCCTGAGTGGAGGGGTCCCCCTGGAGGGGGGGTGCGGACGCCCCCTTGGCTCTGCTGTGTTGGGGCTGGGATTGGGGAGGGGGGGTGGGTAGGCCGATGCTCAGGTCGTCATCGTCCTCCCCATTGGTGCCATTTTCCAAGGAGGGGAATTCCGGGAGGCCCGCTGTGAATAGTTCTTCTCTGTCTAGGTCTGCAGGAAAATAAAAACAACTGCCATGTGAATTACAGTTACTTTGTATTATAGGGTGACATTTTGAGTTGACAAAAACGAACACACAATTGAAAATACTTGGCACTTCACTTGATTCTAAATGTTTGGAATATTACATATGTACTCACGCTGGAATACACACACACACACACACACACACACACACACAGTAACACTCACCATCTGAGTTCTCAGTCTGGGGCGTATGTCCCTCAGACAGGTTAAATGTTCCGTTGTCTGTCCACGTCACATCAGAGGCCTCTGTGTCCGATATAGACATCTCCTTACAAACTGTGGAGTCCAACTGTTGCAAGTAACAATAACATTATTAGGGCCCTACTTTTTTTCTGGGTCATGTTCGGTAGGAAAAAAATGTTTTGAAACAGAAATGTACTACCTGAACGGTCAAATAAGAACACATACAGTATGTACTTTTTCCTTTGTACAACATTTGCTACGGTGTGCCCTACTGAACCTGGCCTGGAAAAACTGTAGTCCCTTTTCCTTGTCAGGTCAGAGTCAGGTGACGAGGTCATAACTAGGGACCAGAGTTTTTTTGTGGCCAGATCACCTGGGTCATGTTCAGTACGGCACCCCATAGCCAAATGTTTTGCAAAGAAACATGGAAATCTGTGTTCTTATTGGACATGTTCAGGTAGAACTTTCCCGTTTCCAGAATGGTTCCTCCCTTCTGAACACGACCCAGGTCAGGACAAACTCAGGTCAGGAATAATAAATAGCTGTGTGCATCATCTTAGAGAGACCAAAGAGCTATAGAGCCAACAATATTGACAACTGTAGCTCAGTTGGTAGAGCATGGCGCTTGCAACGCCAGGGTTGTGGGTTCGTTTCCCACGGGGGGCCAGTATGAAAATGTATGCACTCACTAACTGTAAGTCGCTCTGGATAAGAGCGTCTGCTAAATGACAAAAAATATATATATAATAAAAAAATTATAATAATTAACTAACCCCACTCTTGCGAAACCCAGATATGGATCATGAGCATTGAATTTCAATGACTGTCCACAAATGTCTAATTACAGTGCTATGAAAAAGTATTTGCCCCCTTTCTAATTTTCTCTACTTTTGCATATTTGTGATACTGAATGTTATCAGATCTTCAACCAAAACCTAATATTAGATAAAGGGAACATAAGTGAACAAATAACACAACAATGGCATATTTATTTCATAAACAAAGTTATGCAACACCCAATTCCCCTGTGTGAAAAAGTAATTGCCCCCTTACACTCAATAACTGGTTGTGCCACCTTTAGCTGCAATGACTCCAACCAAATGCTTCCTGTAGTTGTTGATCAGTCTCTCACGTCGCTGTGGAGGAATTTTGGCCCACTCTTCCATGAAGCACTGCTTTAACTCAGTGACGTGTGGGTTTTCAAGCATGAACTGCTCGTTTCAAGTCCTGCCACAACATCTCAATTGGGATTAGGTCTGGACTTTGACTAGGCCATTCCAAAACTTCCAATTTGTTGCTTTTTAGCAATTTTCATGTAGACTTGATTGTGTGTTTTGGATCATTGTCTTGCTGCATGACCCAGCTGCGCTTCAGCTTCAGCTTCAGCTCACAGACGGATGGTCTGACATTCTCCTGTATAATTCTCTGATACAGAACAGAATTCATGGTTCCTTCTATTAAGGCAAGTCGTCCAGGTCCTGAGGCAGCAAAGCATCCCCAAACCATCACACCACCACCACCATGCTTGACCTTTGGTATGATGTTCTTACTGTGGAATGCAGAGTTTGGTTTTCGCCAGGCATAATGGAACCCATCTCGTCCAAAAAGTTGACTCAAGTTTGCCAAAAAGCACCTGGATGATCATCAAGACTCTTGGAAGAACGTTCTATGGATAGATGATTCAAAAGTATAACTTTTTGGACGACATGGTTCCAGTAATGCCTGGTGAAAACCAAACTCTGCATTCCACAGTAAGAACATCATACCAAAGGTCAAGCATGGTGTTGGTGGTGTGTAAACTTTGTTTATGAAATAAATATGTAATTGTGTTATTTGTTCACTTATGTTCCCTTTATCTAATATTAGGTTTTGGTTGAAGATCTGGTAACATTCAGTATCACAAATATGCAAAAGTAGAGAAAATTTGAAAGGGGGCAAATACTTTTTCATAGCACTGTAGATTACAGCAAAGGATGAACCAACCCTGGGGAAAAGAGAGGACAGATCGGCTTCAATACTCTCCCGGTCAGCTTGTGCCTGAAGGAGTCTCTTTTCTGAAACACAGAATAAAACATCTGTGGATCTGTTGTTATTGTGCGTGCGTGTGTGTTTGTGTGTGCGATCTTGGAGTGGTTAGTTACCATGATTCTCTCTGATTTTCTGAAGGAATCTTTCCAGTCCGAAGCCCAGTTTATGCAGAACTGGCTTCATCCACAACCCAAAGTCATGCGCTGACATCAGTGGCCACAGGAAGATGCCCAGCACTAATAAGACACCAAAAAGGGGAAGGGGGGGGCAAGAACATGGGGGAGACATAGTTAACAGATGGAGGAGCTGGGGCTGTTACGGTGATCGGATTACCACCACACCGGCGGTCACGAGTATGACGGCAGTCAAATTCCACGTGACCGTTTAGTCACGGTAATTAGGGTTCTCCCAGCTCTGATGCTGCTGATGGTCATTAGTAGCCTACCAAACTTGCTAACTGCCTGGTACTCAGCACTATTGTCCCTCTAATCACTCTGACATCAATGCAAATGTATTCGAAAATCTAAACAAACACTTCATGAGAGCCCATGAGCTCATGTTGAGCAACATTTCTATAGGCTATGCAATTGCGTGAGAAAACAGAGTGATGGCCTCTATTAAAAAGAGGAGCACTATATTTATTTCTCAACTTTCCTAATATTAAGCACATTTCTTTTCTTTACAACAGGAGTATAGCCTACCTGGCTGGCATGAAAATGAAACACGTCCTCCAGTCGCTATTTAAGTGCATAGATTACGTATTTTTTGCCCCTGCCCCTATTCCGACAGGTGCATGATAATGGTCCATTCTAAATCAAAACTAATTTCACACATATATTATTTAGTATATGTAAAGATTAAATCAAGGATAGTCTGATGGGTGACAATATTAGCCTGTCACTTGTGAATGATATATTATCACTTGTGAATGAGGCCCAGCTTGTGTGCAGTAAGGCAGGAAACTCATGTCTGTTTTTGCGATTTTTTCTAATCATAGTCGCACACCTCATGTAGCGTATCCCACAGGCCTATATGTTTTGATAAGGTTTGTATCACAACTAGTGGCCAATATCACTGGATGAAGCAAAGATGCTGCATGTCAAATGTTAACCACAATAGTTCAGCTCAGAATTGGAGGAGGACAATGCATTGAATGTCAACTTCTTCCTAAAGCTGGGTTCACGAGTTGTAACATTCCGCTATAAAGACATTTCATAATCTCAACTGTACCAAAGTGATGATACATCAGTTTGAATCAACACATTCTCCAGAATATTATTTTGTGCTTTGCATATTGGCTAGTTGTCCAAAGATATGGTAGGATGATCGCAACAACTTACCTAAAACATATAAGATGAGAACACCTGGAATGTAGCGTCCTAAAACAGCCAAAAAGGTGCACAAACTGCAGACCAGCAAGCAAAACTAAGATTGGGAAGAAGGAAAGAGAGCAACATTTATTAGGTTGCAACCAGGGCCAGCTCTAGCTTTTTGGGGGCCCTAAGCGAGATTTGGTTGGCACCCACACCTCATGGCAAAACATTTTAGTGGCCCCCCTCTTGACGGTGGAGAGAAAGATGTACGTTTCAAAGTTCATTTCCTGCAATTCTATACATTTTTCCATGGGGCGTAGAGAACATGATACAGTTTTAAAGCATGTTTTCTGCAATTCCACACATTTCGCCATGGGGAGGAGAGAAAACTTCGCAATTTTATTACACATTTCATGCAATTCTACTCATTTTGCCATGGGACAGAGATAACAAATTTGCACTTTTACAGCTAATTTCCTGCAATTCTACACATTTTGTAATGATTTATGCCATGTTAATATGATATCTGAGTGAGAATGACTAAAAAAATCAATGTGGGCCTCCTGGAGGTTGGGGCCCTTGTGCACGTGCCCTGCGTGCCAGATCGGTATTCGGCCATGATTACTACAAGTTTAGATAGCTCGCTAAAAATTGTTAGCCGACATGGCTAATTGAGTGACTGTCAGTGAGTGACATAACAAGAGAAAAACATTGGTGCAAGGAAGAGGAGAGAAGGGACTCAAGTTTTATAATTGATTTAGAACTTGACATACAATGCATCAATCGGGCTGCATCTAAGATAATTCAGGTAAATTGATTGTATCAATCATACTTTTCAGTTGGGATTAAAGGCAAATACTAAATATCCAGTCATATAAAATAATGCATCAGGCATTCCAAATCACATTTGCCTCACCTTGCCTGGATTCTCCTGCTTGAAGGAGGAGGTCTCCTGCAGAAAGAGCTTGAAGCTCGTCCAGGAGTCTGTGACCTGTAGCCCAGCTCCAGATCTGCTGTCCTGGTCCGTATCAATGATCTCCCAGCTAGAGTCAGAGAGAAATATAATTATCCATCACTGGTGACCACAAGCACAGCCTCTTTCCTCCTGCTAGTAAGGTTGTAAAACCATCATGTGACTTCCCTGGTTAAATAAAGGATGAGTAAAATAACATTAAAAAAAACGAAATCTGGTATCAGGAGTTGTAGCATGTCAATACTTATATTATATCTGTTGTTGGCACAGTCATAGAAATGCATCAAACAAACATCACAGAAGTTGAAGCAGTAGTATGTGAGTCATATGAGCCATTTCCAATGAAACAGCTGTAAAGGGAAGGCCAGTATGAAAACATGTATGCACTCACTAACTGTAAGTCGCTCTGGATAAGAGCGTCTGCTAAATGACTAAAATGTAAATGTTAGCACCCCAACATGAGAACGGTATCACACTCCATTCGGGCTGTCTGTAGATCATTACATGCTCTGGTATATACTATAAGGTATGGGCGGCAAGTAACCTAGCAGTTAAGAGAGTTGGTCCAGTAAAGAAAAAGTCACTGGTTCAAATCCCCGAGCTGACAACGTGGGGGAAAAAACTGTTGATGGGCCATTGAGCAAGGCACTTAGCCCTAATTGCTACTGTAAGTCGCTTTGGATAAGAACGTCTGCTAAATGACTAACATGTAGATGTCATCAGAGGCGACTTTATAGGCCCTTCAGTCACATGCTTTACTGCTACAACATGCCAGGATATGGAGCTGGGGGCCTTGGGATCTGTCAGAATGTAACTGGTGGACAGCACTGACTCGCAGAGACAGACAGACAGGAACTAGGGTATCCCCCAACATAAATAGCAGGCTAGCAGCTAAGGCCAATTTGGAATACGTTTCAGGGTGAATTACAAAGCAGCTAGCATGCTAATGGCTAATTTCAGGTAACAACACTGGTAACAAATGACCCTCGAAGTCTGACAGAGACATTTTCATTGTGCAAAAGAGCAAAGATTGAGTTTGCTCTTTTGCACCATGAAAATGTCACCCTTAGACTTTAAGGGTCATTTGCAGGGTCAGTTGTTACCGTAATTTGTAAACCAGCGTTGTTATCGGAAATTAGCTGTTAGCGTGCTAACTGCTTTGTAATTCACTGTGAGATTGTAACCCTAGTTCTAGCTGAAGCAATTGGGGGTGAATCTCACTAAAATCTGGGATTGTGATTTCATTTTAAACTTTTCTTCAACAATGTGCGACTAGTATATTCAATTTCAAATTGATTAAATTGTGATGATTTTTTTTGTGACTGGCCTACACACAATACCCAATGATGTCAAAGTGGAATTATGTTTTTCGAAATTTCTATAAATGTATTAAAAATGAAAAGCTAAAATGTCTTCAGGCAATAAGTATTCAACCCCTTTGTTATGGCATGCCTAAATAAGTTCAGGAGTAAAAATGTGCTCAACAAGTCACATAGGGATGTTTTCCAATTCCTTGCAAAGAAGGGCACCTATTGGTAGATGGGTAAAAATAAAAAAAGCAGACATTGAAAATCCCTTTGAGCATTGTGAAGTTATTGATTACACTTTGGATGGTGTAACAATACACCCAGACACTACAAAGATACAGGTGTCCTTCCTAACTCAGTTGCTGGAGAGGAAGGAAACCGCTCAGGGATGTTTGGGACACATACTTAACCCGTTATTTTTGTTGGCACAAAACTACCTCCATACCTCAATTCGTTTGTATGGGTTACCTTCAGACAAGTCCTGTGACAATTGTGAGGGTCTTAGAGCAAAACAGAGAACACCATCGTGTTTGTGAGAGTCTCCCCTTTCCATAGTCACAATAGTTTTGTAGGCCAAACCGTACCGATGTTTTCGTGAGAAGATTGATTTTCGGGACGTCTCATGGTCTGAAATACAACGCTGTAGCTCAGCCACCTTCTACCGCAGATGCGGAAGGTCGAACGGCGGTTGTGGAGACGCAGCTAATCCAAAAAACCTGATACACTACATGACCAAAAGTATGTGGACACCTGCTTGTCGAACATCTCATTCCAAAATCACGGGCATTAATATGGAGTTGGTCTCCCCTCTGCTGCTAGAACAGCCTCCACTCTTCTGGGAAGGCTTTCCACTAGATGTTGGAACATTGCTGCGGGGACTTGCTTCCATTCAGCCGCAAGAGCATTAGTATGGTCGGGCACTGATGTTGGGCGATAAGGCCTGGCTCGCAGTCGGCATTCCAATTCATCCCAAAGGTGTTCGCTGGGGTTGCGGTAAGGGCTCTGTGTAGGCCAGTCAAGGTCTTCACACCGATCTCGAAAACAATTTCTGTATGGACCTCACTTTGTGCATGGGAGTATTGTCATGCTGAAACAGGAAAGGGCCTTCCCCAAACTGTTGCCACAAAGTTGGAAGCACAGAATCGTCTAGAACAGTGGTTCCCAACCTTTTTTGGGTACTGTACACCTAAAACACTTTGACCTGCCTGAAGTACCCCCTCATGCGTGTGCGACCGGCGTGATTCCTGTATTAGCTGTACATTTGACAAATGTGGTTTCGCAGACTTGTTTTCAATGTCAAGGAAGTAGGAGTTGAACTCACTGTTGAGTTTGGATAAATGTGAGCTTACTATCTGCACCATAGGAGCTCTGTCAACATCACCCGTAAAAAGAGGTGTCAAGCTGCTGGAAACAACTTACCTCCCCATCTTCACATTTCCTCTCCCAGAGTTTGATCTTCTTCATGAATCCACACACTTTGTCATACATGTTTAGAAAGTGTGTGTCTACCTTGCAGAGTTAGATTCAGGTTGTTCAGTTTGCTGAACACATCAGCAAGATTGGCAAGGCGGACTCTACAGTCGGTGTCCTCATACACAGCCACAAGGGATGTGAGTGCTCAGACAGAAAATCACTTACTTCGGCTCGCAGCTCAAAAAGCCTCTGTAGCGTTTTCTCTCTGGATAGCCAACGGACGTCGGCGTGAAGCCGTAGCTGCTTGTGCTCGGTCCCACTGTCATCACAGAGCCTTTCAAACAGTCGGTGATTCAGAAGCCTGGACATTATAAAGTGAATCACTTTCACTGCGTCATTCAAAACATAATGTAACTCAGGACTCATTATCTTGCTGGCCAATGCCTCTCTGTGAATGATACAGTGGGATTTACCTTCTTTATGTGGGCAATTCATAATTTCACTCTCCCAAGCATTGATGCAGCATGATCCGTGCACACATGAAAACAGGATTTCCAATCCAGATAGTGTTCTGAGAAAAAGCTGTCAATTACGTGAAACAGATCCTCACCTGTAGATCTCCCTGTTAGCTTCAGGCAGAACAGAATGTGCTCATTAATTTCCTAAATGTCTCTGTATCGCACAAACGCAATCAACTGGGCTTCCAGACTGACATCAGTCGATTTGTCCAACTGCAGAGAAAATTGATCAGATGTCATTTTTTTAATTCACCAATTGATCAATAATATCAACGCCCATGTCATCGACCCCATGGCACACCGTGTTATTTGACAATGGTACAGTCTTCAGTTCATCAGCTGCTGTCTTATCATTCATAGTTTCTGTGAGGATAACAGCAGCAGGCACTCTAGGATCAAACATTGAGCATACGGGCGAGCGGGTGGGCAGAGGCCAGGTAGACAGAGCAATGCGCACACACCGAAACTAAAGTAAAAAACTAGGCCTATAAATATAAAATAACTAGAGATTTCATACCAGTGACCTCAGTAGATGTTTTCCTGCCTATTCAAATGGAATTACATTTAATATATTTTTCCCAAAAATGTTTTCTTCAAATTTTTGAAAATCTTCACACATACCACCTGGGGACTGCTCACGTACCCCTAGGGGTACGCGTACCCCCGGTTGGGAAACACTGGTCTAGAATGTCATTGTATGCTGTAGCGTTAAGATTTTCCTTCACTGGATCTAAGGGGCCTAGCCCAAACCATGACAAACAGCCCCAGACCATTACTCCTCCTCCACCAAACTTTACTGTTGGCACTATGCATTGAGGCAGGCAGCGTTCTCCTGGCATGCGCCAAACACCACTTTGCACCACTCCAGCCGACACTTGGCATTGCGCCTGATGATCTTAGGCTTGTGTGCGGCTACTCGGCCATGGAAACCCATTTCATGAAGCTCCCGACGAACAGTTCTTGAGCTGACATTACTTCCAGAGGCAGTTTGGAACTCGGTAGTTTTACTGCCAACGTTTGTGTATGGAGATTGCATGGCTGTGTGCTCGATTTTATACACCTGTCAGCAACGGGTGTGGCTGAAATACACTAATTTGAAGGGGTGTCCACATACTTTTGTATATACAGTGTATCTCTAGCTGTCATGGGAGAAAATTGAGGATGGATCAACAACATTGTAGTTACTCCACAATACTAACCTAATTGACAGAGTGAAAAGAAGGAAGCTTGTACAGAATAAAAATATTCCAAAACATGCATCCTGTTTGCAACAAGGCACTAAAGTAATACTGCAAAAAATGTGACAAAGCAATTCACTTTTTATCCTGAATAAAGTGTTATGTTTGGGTCAAATACAATATAACAATACAATTACTGAGTACCACTCTCCATATTTTCAAGCATAGTGGTGGCTGCATTATGTTATGGGCATGCTGATAATCGTTAAGGACTGGGGAGTTTTTCAGGATAAAAATGAAATGCAATGGAGCTAAGCACAGGCAAAATCCTAGAAGTAAACTTGGTTCAGTCTGCTTTCTACCAGACATTGGGAGATGAATTCACCTGGCCGAGTTACAGTTTTGACTTAAATCTACAATGCATTCGGAAAGTATTCAGACCCCTTGACTTTTTCCACATTTAGTTACTAAAGCCATATTCTAAAATGGATTAAATTGTTATTTTTTTCCTCATCAATATACACACAATACCCCATAATGACAAAGCAAAAACTGGTTTTTAGAAATTTTTGCAAATGTATTGACATAATTTTTTTTTGAAATATCACATTTAAATAAGTATTCAGACCATTTACTCAATACTTTGTTGTTATAGCAGCAAAGGGGGGACCAACTCCATATTAATGCCCATGATATTGGAATGAGATGTTGGACGAGCAGGTGTCCACATACTTTTGGTCATGTAGTCTTCCACTTTGACATTACAGAGTATTTTGTGTAGATCGTTGACAAAAAAAATTACAATTAAATCCTTTTTAATCCCACTTTGTAACACAACAACATTTTGAAAAAGTCAAAGGGTGTGAATGCTTTCTGAAGGCACTGCATATCTGTTTGGGTTTACCAGCATGTACTCTCATGAATGGTCTCTCCATCTCTCTAGGTGTCCTTGCTCAAGGAGTAGGATAGTGGATAGGCAATAGGTACTAAAGTGCTATGACCCCAAGAACCCTTACACCGAGCCCTTAAATACCAATCGCGTTGACAGATGCGCTTAATGAACTCAACCTGGCTCTTTACAACTCTCCACCCCTTTAATCTGACATTTTCAAACGACAGGAAAGTAGGTCGTAAGGAAGCCGCTCGTAATGAAATCCCCCATGTGACCCTGGAAAGCCTGACAACTGTATCACACTTTATTAGTTTAAAGCCAATTCCAAGGAATAGAGCGGGTGAAAAGTTCAAAATAAAAATACATTACCCAGCATGCCTTTCAGAAAACCTCTCTTTGTTTGTCGTGGGAGCGTTTGACAGATGATGGAGAATTGGCTTCGCTGGACCTCAGCTCTCAAGGAAAAGGCTTGGCTTTCAAAGCCACCGCAACACAGGATTCCTTGGCAGGCTGCGTACATCTATTAACGGAAGTCCATTTGAGCGCTGCCCTTTCCTAGCTCGTTACCCTCTCTCCCAAACGCACCTTCCGCCCCCACACAGCTGTCCTGTTCCCATTTGTTTCGGTTGCGCAGGTTTTCTAAACATCCACCCTTAATGCACCCCTTTGCCTGCTTCCCCCTGAAGCTCCATTCTAGGGCTGGGCGGTATACCATATTTTACGATATAACGTATTAATGCACGGACCGGTTTGGGTTTTTACGTTACCTTCTATAACGGTATTTGAATGTTAAATGTGATACGGCGTGTGTAAGGTCCATTTTTATAGTTTACTCCGCTAATTGAGTCATCTCTCGCAGCTCTCACTCTCTTTCCATACCGCTTTCCATACAGACCTAGCCCCGCCCCCTGTATTTCACGGAGCGCATTTGTTGTTCCTTGACCACCACACACTTGCGTTCAGTCTGCATGGTCAATGCAGCACATGCAACAATGTTGATGACAACGATGCTGTTTTTACTTTGCTTCTTAATATAAAACCTCTAGTGGTCTATAATTAACTATTAGTTTGTGTTTCTTACATCTGCAAACGGCTAGTTTGTCTTTTCTTAGCAAGTTGGGCCTAAATCGTGTTAGCCGCTAATGCTAATCGCTGGTTAGCTGGCTAGCTATCTAACAAATGTACTGAGTCAGAGCAAACGTAACTAGCTATACAGCCTGATAATAGCAGTGATGGTGTATATCTAAATCAGTATGTTGTTTGTGCACTCTAAATCAAAGAGGAATACGCAAAGCATGAATATGTTAGCTACATGAGCAAAAAAATAAAATAATATATATTTACAATGCATTTGGAAAGTATTCAAACCCCTTGACTTTTTACACATTTTGTTACGTTACAGCCTTATTCTAAAATGGATTACATTATGAATTTACACACACTACCCCATAATGACAAAGCGAAAACAGGTGTTTAGAAATTTTTGTAAATGTATTAAAAATTAAAAACAGAAACACCTTATTTACATAAGTATTCAGACCCTTTGCTATGAGACTCGAAATTGAGCTCCGGTGCATCCTGTTTCCATTGATCATCCTTGAGATGTTTCTACAACTTGATTGGAGTCCACCTGTGGTAAATTCAATTGATTGGACATGATTTGGAAAGGCACACACCTGTCTATATAAGGTCCCACAGTTGACAGTGCATGTCAGAGCAAAAACCAAGCCACGAGGTCGAAGGAATTGTACGTAGAGCTCAGAGACAGGATTGTGTCGAGGCACAGATCTGGGGAAGGGTACCAAAAATGTTTTGCAACATTGAAGGTCCCGAAAAACACAGTGGCCTCCATCATTTTTAAATGGAAGAAGTTTGGAACCACCAATACTCTTCCTAGAGCTGGCTGCCTGGCCAAACTGACCAATTAGGGGAGAAGGGCCTTGGTCAGGGAGTTGACCAAGAACCCGATGGTCACTCTGACAGCGCTCCAGAGTTCCTCTGTGGAGATGGGAGAATCTTCCAGAAGGACAACCATCTCTGCAGCACTCCACCAATCAGGCCTTTATGGTAGAATGGCCAGACGGAAGCCACTCCTCAGTAAAAGGCACATATTACGTTACAGCCTTATTAAAACATGTATTCAATATTTTTTTCCCTCATCAATCTACACACAATACCCCATAATGACAAAGCAAAAACACGTTTTTAGTAATGTTGGCAAATGTATAAAAATCTGAAATATCACATTTACTTAAGTATTCAGACCCTTTACTCAGTACTTTGTTCAAGCACCTTTGGCAGCAATTACAGCCTTGAGTCTTCTTTGGTATAACGCTACAAGCTTGGCACACCTGTATGAAAATGTATGCACTCACTAACTGTAAGTCGCTCTGGATAAGAGCTTCTGCTAAATGACTAAAATGTAAATGTAAATGTAATGAAGTAGCTAAGAGAAAACATTAAATGTAGCCAATGATTATAGGGTCCCCTAGGAAACACTTATTTACACTTTGGTTCCTACCCTGTCACAATAACTCCTCCTGGTATTTTCATTCGTTGTCATGGCAAACATCATTGTTTTCAAACTGCCCACTATTATTTTCTAACTATAGTATTAGAATAATCATTCTATTTCCACGATTCCAACAGTTCACCCAAGTGTTTTGCTCTAAATCGCAAGTCAAATCGCAATTGCAACATTTGGTTAAAAATAAGGCCTGGATTGTTTGCCCATATCATGCAGCCCTACGTGGCAGTATGGAAATTACCTCAAATGAGTGGAGGAAATGCAGATAAAAAAAATTATATATAGTGATATTATATTTTGGCCATATCGCCCAGCCCTACTCCATACCCCTCTCACAATCAGCCTGGAAAATAGCAACAGGCCAGGGTAGGGTATCTCCTGAACTCCACCCCCAGCCCCCCACCAAACTTACGCCCATGTCTGACATATACCTCTGTCAATAAAGGTCAGCTTGCTATTCCCCTCTCACATTCCAGGCACGTGCTTCCCAGGGAGACATATTTCCAGGGAAACCGTGACGGGCGCACATGTGACAGTGTGACTGAACGTTTGTCTGTGAGGCAATGAATCCAGATAAAGATTTCAGTATTTCCTGTAAATCTGCCCTGCTCCTTAGAACTGCTTAAGTACAGTGCCCTGGTATGGGAGGTGGTCTACTGGTAAACACTTTTGTCAAGCGTTCTGGTACTGGGCAAATTCCGTTTGGGAAAACGCTCCTAGGGGAAACCCAAGGGAGAAAGACTGGTTCAAAGTTAACACCCAGAAGACATTGTCAAGACATTGGTAAACCCGAAGGGTACAATGCTCCGCTCACTAGGCAATATCCTCTGGATAACAGTATCCAGCTTTTGTACTGTAATGCAGTGATAGGGGTATCGTATCTTCCTTTGTAGACCCAAAGGGACAGACCAAACTAAACTTCTGTTGGACAGCGGTATTATAATATAATAATATGCCATTTAGCAGACGCTTTTATCCAAAGCGACTTACAGTCATGTGTGCATACATTTTTACGTATGGGTGGTCCCGGGGATCGAACCCACTACCCTGGCATTACAAGCACCATGCTCTACCAATTGAGCTACAGAGGACTGGGTAAACTCCTTCAGCGGAAAGTCCTAGAAAATCCTGGCACTCCATTACACTTTGGTGGAGCGCAACATTTAAAAGACTTCAGATCACACTGGCTCAACTAGGATCGTTCCATGACAACAATCCTATCGAGAGACCAGAGGAGGGGCACCCAAAGCAGACATGTCATTTCAACCTATCGGTGATCTCTAAAACAACATAGGGAGCTACATGTCTGAGCCTCTAATCAGTCCAGTGACGGCGCCTTAAAAATAGTATTTAACAAACTGCCAAACAATGTGAGGAATGGTGGCTAAAAAATCCAGAGCATCCACATATTTCCGAGGGATATAAAGAGGGAGTAAATATGTATACCAGTCTATGTGTGTGTGTACAAAAGAACACTCCAGATGCAACATACCTTTATGCCAAAAGCCCTCTTTGTGGGGGTTTGTTGTCAACTTGATAATTGATATTGGCTGCTATTCAAAACCCAAAGGCAAAGCCTTGACCAGTTCACTTAAACCTCCATTTCAAAAGAGTCATCATGCACATCTAGAGCCCAAGCCCAAATTAACATTTGAGTCATTTAGCAGACACTCTTGTCCAGAGCGACTTAATGTAGTGAGTGTATACATTTTTTATACTGGTTCCCCATGGGAATCGAACCCACAACCCTGGCACTGCAAGCACCATGCTCTACCAACTGAGCCACACAGCACCCATGTGCCGCCATTGATATCACTGACATCTTATGCAACGATGTTGACACCTTTCCAAGTGAACACAAGCTGTATTATTTTGGTTACAGATCTTAGGTGTATTTTAATCCAACTTTATTTGCCTAGTCATGTTGGGTTTTGAGTTGAGAAAACTGGAGTGAATTGTATATCTATAACTCTTAGCAATATGGATACCAAAATCCTGTCGCTTATACTTGAGGAGGGAAAACTTAAGGCATGCCACCCAATATAATCACAACCAATTACGTAACATGAAGAGTGTAGCACCTTATCTAGAATACTAGTTTTTTTTTATCACTGACATACAGTGCCTTCAGAAAGTATTCATACCCCTTGACTTATTCCACATTTTGTTGTGTTACAGCCTGAATTCAAAATGCATTAAATAGTTTTTTTTCTCTCTTACCCATCTACACACAATACCCCATAATGACAAAGTGAAAACATGTTTTCAGAAATTTTTGCAAATTTATTGAAAATGAAAAACTGAAATGTCTAATTAATATAAGTATTCACACCCCTGAGAATGACCTTTGGCAGCGATTACAGCTGTGAGTCTTCTGGGTAAGTCTCTAAGAGCTTTGCACATCTGGATTGTACAATATTTGCACATTATTCTTTTAAAAATTCTTCAAGCTCTGTCAAGTTGGTTGTTGATCATTGCTAGACAGCCATTTTCAAGTAGGCCACTAAGGAACATTCAATGCCGTCTTGGTAAGCAACTCCAGTGTATATTTTGCCTTGTATTTTAGGTTATTGTCCTGCTGAAAGGTGAATTTGTCTCCCAGTGTCTGTTGGAAAGCAGACAGAACCAGGTTATCCTCTACCCATTTACCAATAGGTGCCCTTCTTTGCGAAACATTGGAAAACATCCCTGGTCTTTGTGGTTGAATGTGTTTGAAATTCACTGCTCGACTGAGGGACCTTACAGATAATTGTATGTGTGGGGTACAGAGATGAGGCAGTCATTCAACAATCATGTTAAACACTATTATTGCACACAGAGTGAGTCCATGCAACTTATTATGTGACTTGTTAAGCATATTTTTACTCCTGAACTTATTTAGGCTTGCCATAACAAAGGGGTTGAATACTTATTGATTCAAGACATTTCAGCTTTTCATTTTTAATTAATTAGTAAAAATGTCAAAAATACATAATTCCACTTTGACATCATGGGGTATTGTGTATAGGCCAATGACACAAAATGTGTGAATACTTTCTGAAGGCACTGTACATATGAACAGAGAGCTGTAACAGTATTCAAAACTCATTTTCACTGTTTGTCTCTCACTTTCTCTTCATTCACACTCAAAAGACATCAAAACAAACAGACATGTACCTCATTCCTGCCCAACGGTCTTCAGGAGACATCTTAAGAGCTCTAGTTTGGTTCTGTTATGAAATTAAGGTAGTCCGGAGAAGATGTGGTTTCGGATATAAGTACTTGTCTGTCACAGCAAATAGCTCCAAATCGTTCAGGTCAAGTTAAAACACGGTTGACGTGCCACACGGCGCGAGACCAGCTAGTGTTTATCTTCACTGAAGCCTGAGCTTGACTATTTCAACCAGGCCCGTCTAAAAATAACACAGGTCACACAGCATTCCATCAGGCAACTATCAAGAGGACAGAGGGGCTGGGGCAGGGTGGTGGTTGGGGGGGTAAAAATACACCAGTGACAGGGTGGGAGCTGCCCCCCTATGTTAGTGTCACTGCCCCCCTCTGACACAATCTGTTTATCAGATATCTTTGAGTGTGTTTGTTTTTGTGTGAGTGTATGTGGAGGGGGAGGGTGTATCTATTTGAGAAGTAGAAAGCAAGCACATGTCATTGTTGTCTTTGTCGAATGTTGACGCCATATCCGGTGCATACTACTTAGAAGTTGCGCAAATACTAGCTCTCCCCTGCTAACAACAGTTCAGTTACAGTCTTTATTTAGGGCTATTTTACCAAGAAGGAGAGTGATGGGAGTGCTGCATCAGATGACCTGGCCTCCACAATCCCCCGACCTCAACCCAATTGAGATGGTTTGGGATGAGTCGGACGTCAGAGTGAAGGAAAAGCAGTCAACAAGTGCTCAGCATATGTGGGAACTCCTTCAAGACTGTTGGAAAAGCATACCAGGTGAAGCTGGTTGAGAGAATGCCAAGAGTGTGCAAAGCTGTCATCAAGGCAAAGGGTGGCTATTTGAAGAATCTCAAATATAAAATATATTCTGATGATATATTCAGATGATATACTACCTGATTCCATATGTGTTATTTCATAGTTGTGATGGCTTCACTATTATTCTACAATGTAGTAAATAGTAAAAATAAAGAAAAACCCTTGAATGAGTAGGTGTGTCCAAACTTTTGACTGGTACTGTAGACAGGTGTGTGCCTTTCCAAATCATGTCCAATCAATTGAATTTACCACAGGTGGACTCCAATCAAGTTGTAGAAACATCTCAAGGATGATCAATGGAAACAGGATGCACCTGAGCTCAATTTTGAGTCTAATAGCAAAGGGTCTGAATACTTATGTAAATAAGATATTTCTGATTTTTATTGTCAATATCAATAATTCGTTTTTTTATACATCAAAAATTGAATTATTGATTTCAATAATTCGAATTTGTTTATATAAAAAAATGAATTAATGGCTATAAGCTTAGCACATCTAGCCACTGGGATTGTTACCCATTCTTCAAGGCAAAACTGCTCCAGCTCCTTCAAGTTGGATGGTTCCGCTGGTGTACAGCAATCTTTAAGTCATACCACAGATTTTCAATTGGATTGAGGTCTGGGCTTTGACTAGGCCATTCCAAGACATTTAAATGTTTCCCCTTAACATTAACATTTCAGTCATTTAGCAGACGCTCTTAACCAGAGCGACTTACATGAGCAATTAGGGTTAAGTGCCTTGCTTAAGGGCACATCGACAGATTTATCACCTAGTCAGCTCGGGGATTAGAACCAGCAACCTTTCGGTTACTGGCACAACGCTCTTACCCACTAAGCTAACCACTTGAGTGCTGCTTTAGCAGTATGCTTATGGTCATTGTCCTGCTGGAAGGTGAACCTCCGTCCCAGTCTCAAATCTCTGGAAGACTGAAACAGGTTTCCCTCAATAATTTCCATGTATTTAACAGCATCCATCATTCCTTCAATTCTGACCAGTTTCCCAGTCCCTGCCGATGAAAAACATGGATGGTGTTCTTGGGGTGATGAGGTGTTGGGTTTGCACCAGACATAGCGTTTTCCTTGACGGCCAAAATGCTCAATTTTAGTCTCATCTGACCAGAGTACCTTCTTCCATATGTTTGGGGAGTCTCCCACATGCCTTTTGGCGAACACCAAACGTGTTTGCTTATTTTTTTCTTTAAGCAATGGCTTTTTTCTGGCCACTCTTCCGTAAAGCCCAGCTCTGTGGAGTGTACGGCTTAAAGTGGTCCTATGGACAGATACTCCAATCTCCGCTGTGGAGCTTTGCAGCTCCTTAAGTGTTATCTTTGGTCTCTTTGTTGCCTCTCTGATTAATACCCTCCTTGCCTGGTCCGTGAGTTTTGGTGGGCGGCCCTCTCTTGGCAGGTTTGTTGTGGTACCATATTCTTTCCATTTTTTAATTATTTATTTAATGGTGCTCCGTGGGATGTTCAAAGTTTCGGATATTTTTTTATAACCCAACCCTGATCTGTCCTTCTCCACAACTTTGTCCCTGACCTGTTTGGAGAGCTCCTTGGTCTTCATGGTGCCGCTTGCTTGGTGGTGCCCATTGCTTATTGGTGTTGCAGACTCTGGGGCCTTTCAGAACAGGTGTATATATACTGAGATCATGTGACATTTCATGAGACACTTAGATTGCACACAGGTGGACTTTATTTAACTAATTATGTCACTTCTGAAGTTAATTGGTTGCACCAGAACTTATTTAGGGGCTTCATAGGAAAGGGGATGAATACATATGCACGCACCACTTTCCGTTATTTATTTTTTAGATTTTTTTTAAACAAGTTATTTTTTTCATTTCACTTCACCAATTTGGACTATGTTGTGTATGTCCATTACATGAAATCCAAATAAAAAATCAATTTAAATTACAGGTTGTAATGCAACAAAATAGAAAAAACGGCAAGGGGGATGAATACTTTTGCAAGGCATTGTAAAAGGCATTTAGCCCATCTGCAAGGCTCGCGTCTCGCGTCACTGGGCAGCTCGCGGCTGGGTTTCCCTTTGTAGTCCGTAATAGTTTGCAAACCCTGCCACATCCGACGAGCGTCAGAGCGGTGTAGTAGGATTCAATCTTAGTCCTGTATTGACACTTTGCCTGTTTGATGGTTCGTCTGAGGGCATAGAGGGATTTTTTATAAGTGTCCGGATTAGTCTCTCGCTCCTTTAGCTCGGTGCGGATGTTGCCTGTAATCCTGGTTGGGATATGTACGTACGGTCACTGTGGAGACGATGTCGTCGATGCACTTATTGATGAAGCCGGTGACTGAGGTGGTATACTTCTCAATGCCATTGGATGAATCACGGAACATATTCCAGTCTGTGCTAGCAAAACAGTCCATCAGTGTCATCTGACCACTTCCGTATTGAGCGAGTCACTGGTACTTCGTGCTTTAGTTTTTACTTGTAAGCAGGAATCAGGAGGATAGAATTAGGGTCAGATTTGCCAAATGGAGGGTGAGGGAGAGCTTTGTATGCGTCTCTGTGTGTTGAGTAAAGGTGGTCTAGAGTTTTTTCCCTCTGGTTGCACATGTGACATGCTGGTAGAAATGAGGTAAAACGGATTTAAGTTTGCCTGCATTAAAGTCCCCGGCCACTAGGAGCGCCGCTTCTGGATGAGTATTTTCTTGTTCGCTTATGGCCTTATACAGCTCGTTGAGTGTGGTCTTAGTGCCAGCATCGGTTTGTGGTGGTAAATAGATGGCTACGAAAAATATCGATGAAAACTCTCTTGGTAGATAGCATGGTCCACAGCTTATCATGAGGTACTCTAACTCAGGCGAGCAATACCTCAAGACTTCCTTAAAATTAGACATTGCGCACCAGCTGTTATTGACAAATAGACACACACCACCATCCCTCGTCCTACCGGACGTAGCAGTTCTGTCCTGCCGATGCACGGAAAACCCAGCCAACTGTATATTATCCATGTCGTCGTTCAGCCACGACTCTGAGAAACATAAGATATTACAGTTTTTAATATCCCGTTGGTAGGATAGTCTCGAACGGAGCTCATCCAGTTTATTCTCTAGTGATTGCACGTTGGCCAATAGAACGGATGGTAGAGGCGGGTTACCCACTCGCCGATGAATTCTCACAAGGCACCCCGATCTCTGCCCCCTGTACCTCCATCTTTTCTTCACCCGAATGACGGGGATTTGGGCCTGGTCTCGGAGAAACAGTATATCCTTCACGTCGGACTCATTAAAGAAAAACTATTCGTCCAGTTCGAGGTGAGTAATCGCTGTTCTGGAGCTCTTTTCAGTCATAAGAGATGGTAGCAGCAACATTATGCACAAAATAAGTTACAAACAATTCGAAAAAACACACAAAATAGCACAGTTGGTTAGGAGCCCGTAAAACGGTAGCCATCCCGTCCGGCCTAATTAGATTAACAATGTGCACTTGGTGCTGACCTGAGGATGCTTAAAAAACCAGGGATGGGACACTAATACATAAGCATTGTGAGGAATTGGAGCAAGTCACCTAAACCAAACAATGGACGGCGGTAAAAGAAAACGTTCAAAGAATTTCAGTTACTTTGAAAAAAAACTTTTAAATCTAATTGTGTCAAACCACCCAATTATCAAGAGCAAACAGCATGATCCATCAAAAGAAAACAAGAAATAGAATGCCTGGACTACGATTTGTAATGAATTCAACTCAAATTAAAAAGTACAACAAATAAAAATAAGATACTGTACTTATTGTTGACCCACTTTTACAAATCAGACTCACTTTGAAATATTAGTTTTCTTGTGTAACACAACACAGCGGGCCTAAATGTATTTGTGACAGAAATATAACACAAATAATATCTTACATAATTACTAATATCATTTCTATATTGTCTTGTCTTTGTAAGGTCCTGTGGAAAAACATAAACATCTATTTAAAGAAGGCAAATGCTGTTGCTCGTTGGGAGCGTTTCAAGACTGTTGGCGGACCCCAGTAAGACCAGAGACAGATGAGCTGGGGGACTTGTTGACCGGGATCATTGATAGCCAGCAACCCCTGGAAGGTATCCCCGATGATGACCATTTGGACAGTTTAGATGGGGGACCGTTCCAATTCTCATTTGGTAGGACACATTAATTCAACATGTGCCATCCCTGGACTGCAGGGGATATCTTGCACTCCCAAAAGAAAAAATTATGTAATGAACTCAACTCTTGAAGAAATAATATTCCCTAATGGAGCAATGCAATCATTTTCTAGAGGCAGATGATCACCATAGCTTGGAGGGGATAAGAGAGGATGAAGGTCAGCCCGCTACATCTGCAGCAGCCAGGAGGAAAGATTGTGTCACTAACCCGGGCTGGAGGACAAAGACAAAGAGGCTGAGCATGCATGAGAAACTGGCTATGGAATTTCATGTGCGCAAACTAATTTAAAAGAAGAGCATGATATAAAGATGCAAATCCTTCATGTTGAGTTGGCTATGAAGGAGGAGAGAACCATTAAGCAGCGGCAGTACCAATGTCCTTCTCAAACCAGCAACAGTTCGGGGTTCCGATATTTCCATTTGTGAATTAAAAACCTTTTTGTCACCAATCCATGGCTATTTCTGCTTCAATCACTTGAACTATCTTTGTTGTGAGAAGTGCTGCATAGCAAAAGCACCTCCGCAGGCTAGTCCATTTCTGTCATTGTCTGCCTCAACCATAGGAACATCTGGGTCATCCTCATCTTCAATGCGAGGATCAGGGCAGCCATGCTTTTTGAGGTAACTGTGAAGCACTGCTGTTGCAATTATGACAATGCAGTATCTTCTTGGTTGAAATCGCAATGTGTTTCTGAGACACTGGAAACGACTCTTCCATACACCAAACGTGCTCCACTACACCTCTGGTGCGGATATGAGCTTGGTTGTACCGTTGTTGCTCAGGTCCTATTGCATGAAGATAGGGGGTTAACACGAAGTTGGTCTGTGCATACCCACTGTCACCAAGTATGATTCCACTATGTTGTCCTCCTTCAAGCTGAGCATACAAAGAGGAGCTGGAAAATTATTGAGTCATGAGTCGTAACTTTCCAACATGGAATAGTGCAAATTGGGAGTGAACACAATGTACATTTATTGAGAACCCGTTTTTACGATTCCTGTACTCCTCAGCATCTGCTTTAGAGGGACACTTGATGGGAATATGACATCCATCTATACAGCCAATGACTCCAGGGAAGTTCCCATATTCATAGAACTCTACCTTGTAGTTGGCTTGGGCAGCAGCATCAGGAAACTTGAAGTAATTGTATTTCAGTTCACATATAGCATTGCAGACTATTCTGCATACAGTCGGTTGGTTCACTTACACCACACAAATCACGTTTCACGATGGAAGGTTCCAGATGCCAAAAACCTCAAGGTGATCAGTACTTGTAGGGAAGGAGGGCTTCCCCTAAGAGAGTCAGATGAAAGCCTTGGCTCAAGCAAACAAACGATGTACATACGGAAACGGTCACTGAAATGGATTTAATCAAAATCATTCAATGGGCTCCTGTCAAGCCTTGGTGGTGCTCTTTGATCATCATTGAAATAGTCCAGGAAATCCATTTTCCTCCATTGCCAAGTGTCACACCCTGGCTCTGGGGACTCTATATGTTGAGCCAGGGTGTGTATATTCTAGGTAGTGTATTTCTGTGTTGGCCAGAGTGGTTCCCAATCAGAGGCAACGAGTGTCAGCTGTTGCTGGTTGTCTCTGATTGGGAGCCATATTTATAGAGGCTGTTTTCCCACAATAGTTGTGGGATCTTGTTTCCAGTTGGTTTGTTCCTAGTTAGGTTTGTCCTTTGGATGTCACGTATCGTTTGTTGTTTTGTTTCGCTGTTCGTGTTATCATTCGATTAATAAAGTATGTTTGCTTTCAACGCTGCGCCTTGGTCTACTCCGTCTAATGATCGTGACAGAAGATCCCACCATACCAGGACCAAGCAGCGTGTCCAGGAGCAGGCGGCCTGGACATGGGAGGAAGCGCCGGGAAAGGAGCTGGAAAGGTTGGCGATGGCCCAGGTGGGCAAATCGTGGTCCTGGGAAGACATGCTCGGGGGCAAGGGGCCATGGGCTAAGATTAAGGCCCTGGCGAGAGAGGAGCAACGGCGTCAACAGTGTCGTCGTCGGACGGACGAGAGGCAACCCCAGAATTTTTTTAGGGGGGGGCACACGGCATGGGCGACTGGGCAGCAGGAGGCTGCCACAGGGCGAAATGGGAGACGAGGAGAGAAGGCCACCGGGTTACGGGAGCCATTGGTGAGAGGAGGGAAGGAACTGAGGTGTATTGCCAGTCCGGTCCGGCCCGTTCCTGATCCCCGTTTAAGGCCAGTGGTGTGTGTTCCCAGTACGGTCCGGCCTGTTCCTGTTCCTCGCACCAAGCCTACGGTGTGCGTCACCAGCCCGGCCCGGCCTGTTCCTGCTCCTCGCACCAAGCCTACGGTGCGCGTCGCCAGCCCGGCCCGGCCTGTTCCTGCTCCACGCACCAAGCCTACGGTGCGCGTCGCCAGCCCGGCCCGGCCTGTTCCTGCTCCACGCACCAAGCCTACGGTGCGCGTCGCCAGCCCGGCCCGGCCTGTTCCTGCTCCACGCACCAAGCCTACGGTGCGCGTCGCCAGCCCGGCCCGGCCTGTTCCTGCCACTCGCACCAAGCCTACGGTGCGTCGCCAGCCCGGCCCGGCCTGTTCCTGCTCCTCGCACCAAGCCTACGGTGCGCGTCGCCAGCCCGGCCCGGCCTGTTCCTGCTCCACGCACCAAGCCTACGGTGCGCGTCACCAGCCCGGCCCGGCCTGTTCCTGCTCCACGCACCAAGCCAGGGGTGCGAGTCGTCAGCCCGGTCCGGCCCGTTCCTGCTCCACGCACCAAGCCAGGGGTGCGAGTCGTCAGTCCGGTACGGCCCGTTCCTGCTCCACGCACCAAGCCAGGGGTGCGAGTCGTCAGCCCGGTCCGGCCCGTTCCTGCTCCACGCACCAAGCCAGGGGTGCGTATCGTCAGTCCGGTACGGCCCGTTGCTGCTCCACGCACCAGGCCTACGGTGCGCGTCGCCAGCCCGGCCCGGCCTGTTCCTGCCACTCGCACCAAGCCTACGGTGTGCGTCGCCAGCCCGGCCCGGCCTGTTCCTGCTCCTCGCACCAAGCCTACGGTGCGCGTCGCCAGCCCGGCCCGGCCTGTTCTTGCTCCACGCACCAAGCCTACGGTGCGCGTCACCAGCCCGGCCCGGCCTGTTCCTGCTCCACGCACCAAGCCTACGGTGCGCGTCACCAGCCCGGCCCGGCCTGTTCCTGCTCCACGCACCAAGCCAGGGGTGCGAGTCGTCAGCCCGGTCCGGCCCGTTCCTGCTCCACGCACCAAGCCAGGGGTGCGAGTCGTCAGTCCGGTACGGCCCGTTCCTGCTCCACGCACCAAGCCAGGGGTGCGAGTCGTCAGCCCGGTCCGGCCCGTTCCTGCTCCACGCACCAAGCCAGGGGTGCGTATCGTCAGTCCGGTACGGCCCGTTGCTGCTCCACGCACCAAGCCAGGGGTGCGCATCGTCAGCCCGGTCCGGCCCGTTCCTGTTCCACCCACCAAGCCAGGGGTGCGCATCGTCAGCCCGGTCCGGCCCGTTCCTGCTCCACGCACCAAGCCAGGGGTGCGCATCGCCAGCCCGGCCCGGCCTGTTCCTGCTCCTCGCACCAAGCCTACGGTGCGCCGTCGCCAGCCCGGCCCGGCCTGTTCCTGCTCCACTCACCAACCTACGGTGCGCGTCACCAGCCCAGCCCGGCCTGTTCTCCTGCTCCACGCACCAAGCCAGGGGTGCGAGTCGTCAGCCCGGTCCCGGCCCGTTCCTGCTTCCACGCACCAAGCCAGGGGTGCGAGTCGTCAGTCCGTACGGCCCGTTCCTGCTCCACGCACCAACCAGGGTGCAAGTCGTCAGCCCGGTCCGTGCCCGTTCCTGCTCCACGCACCAAGCCAGGGGTGCGAGTTCGTCAGTCCGGTAATCGGCCCGTTCCTGCTCCACCGACGCACCAAGCCCAGGGGTGCGAGTCGTCAGCCCCGGTCCGGCCGTTCCTGCTCCAACGGCCACCAAGCCAGGGGAAGTGCCATATCGTCAGTCCCGGTACGGCCCGTTGGCCTGCTTCCACGCACCAAGCCAGGGGTGTGCGCATCGTCAGCCCGGTTCCGGCCCGTTCCTGTTCCACGCACCAAGCCATGGGTGCGCATCGTCAGCCCGGTCCGGCCCGTTCCTGAGGGTCTACCACGCACCAAAGGCCAGGGGTGCGCGTCGCCCAGCCCGGGCCGGGCCTGTCCTGCTCCACGCCACCAAGCCAACGGTGCGCTCACCAGCCCAGCCCGGGCCTGTTTCCTGCTCCACGCACCAAGCCAGGGGTGCGAGTAGTTCGAGTTGTCAGCCCGGTCGGCCCGTTCGCACCAAGCCAGGGCGTGCGCATCGTCAGCCCGGTCCGGCCCGTAGCTGCTCAACGCACCAGCCAGGGGGTTGCGCATCGTCTCAGCCCGCGGTCCGGCCCACGTCCCTGCTCCACGCACCAGGGCCCAGGGGTGTGCGTCGTCAGTCCGGCCACAACCCTTGCCTGGGTCCACCGGTGCCTGCCGTTCAGGTACCGGTCAGGCTGCTCCAACACCGGAGCTGAAGCAATCCGCTTCTTACGATGTCCAGTCCAGCTCGGTCAGCGGCGGCCAGACCGGGACCAGGGGCGCCACGGGGGATGGTTGAAGAGTGGTGGTCTAGCCCGGAGCCGGAACCGCCTCCGAGGAGGAATGCCCCACCCAGCCCTCCCCTTGTTTGTTGATGTTTAGGCGCGGTCGCAGTCCGCGCCTTTAGGGGGGGGGGTACTGTCACACCCTGGCTCTGGGGACTCTATATGTTGAGCCAGGGTGTGTATATTCTATGTAGTGTATTTCTGTGTTGGCCAGAGTGGTTCCCAATCAGAGGCAACGATTGTCAGCTGTTGCTGGTTGTCTCTGATTGGGAGCCATATTTATAGAGGCTGTTTTCCCACAATAGTTGTGGGATCTTGTTTCCAGTTGGTTTGTTCCTAGTTAGGTTTGTCCTTTGGATGTCACGTATCGTTTGTTGTTTTGTTTCGCTGTTCGTGTTATCATTCGATTAATAAAGTATGTTTGCTTTCAACGCTGCGCCTTGGTCTACTCCGTCTAACGATCGTGACACCAAGGTCAACCTGATGGCCAGCATCCATTAATCTGAAGTTAAACCTCCCTCTGGCCAAGTTTAATTTAAGCCTTCACTTAGATCTAGATTAACTCTAATCGTCATTCTGGAAATCTGACTGCAAGTCTGAGACTATTTTAAACCATGTCTGATAAATGCCATTTCAGTTAGTCTAGTTTAATAGTGCAATTTAGTATAGGATTAGGCTTTATCTGTGTCTGTGAAACTGACCCTCAGTG